TTGCTCCTGGAAGCCCAAGAATTCATTAAGCCGTAATTAGCCACGGTCACTGATGATTTAAAATGCAGTAATAAAGGAAAAGTTTATCCTGGGCTTTGAATGCACTGTTGGGTCTGTCCTATGGTTGGCTTTTTATAGCTTTGGCTTTAAAATGATTCTTCCATTTCATCTGATGGCTGCCTTTCCTTCAGCCAGCCCTTCGTGCAAGCAGGGTAAGAGCTGTTATCCACGCTCCCAGTGCTGCGGGCCGTGGCATCTGTCCCAGGGGCATCGGGGAGAATCCCACACCATCTCAGACCACTGTTTCAGTTAGGAGGCCCCAGGCTTCCCTGTAAAGGGCTGGCTTCATCAGTCATCAGTGGGAAGGGACAGCAAGCACTCTTGAAAGGTGTCTTTGCTTTAAGAAACCCAGAGTACTCCAGAAGGGGGGATTCTCTCATTCTTTTGTTAGCTGATGAGGTCACAGGAATTCACTTTGATTAGCCACCTAAACTTAGGACCCAGATAACTTTATCAAAGGTATGCAGCAGTGGTACCAAGATCTAAACTCAGCCAATCCCCTGTTCCGATGCAGACGCACCAATCCTAACACCATCTCATCTACTCTTCCAGTGTCTCACAGAGGGACAGGTCTTGTAGTTTCCATTTTACTGAACAAAGCCCAGGTTTGACTTCCAGACACCTGACATAGGGCAGGGAGCACCCTTGATTCTTTTACCTCTCACTTGGCATTGTATCTTTGGTATGGCCGGAGATGTGCCAGGAGATGTTCATGTGCCCTTGTTTTATTTGTATCATTGTCACGGAGACTTTGTTAGTATGTATCTCATTGCCATTGGACTGATTTTTATTGTGGCTCTGCCATCTGTGGCTTGGCCCCTGTTGATAGTAACCTTTTCTTTTTTTTTCTTTTAGAGAGAGCTCCAGAGTGAGTGTATGGGGGGAGGGGCAGAGAGAGAGAATCTTTAGCAGGCTTCATGCCCAGCATGGAGCCCGATGTGGGGCTCGATCTCACGACCCTGAGATCATGACCTGAGCTGAAATCAAGAATCAGACTCTTAACCAACTGAGCCACCCAGGCACCCCCATAGTAACCTTGTCTTATCTAATGGTGGACGTATCTCTTCATTGGGCTGTTGTTGATATGATGTCAATGTCCCTGGGTTTAAGAAAAATCTACCTAACTAAGGTATTTAGGTTATTGATTTTATTAGGTTATCAACGAGGGTACCATGTTGTCATGCATTGGAAAGTCCATGAACTACAGAATCAGGTTTTAGTTTACAGGTGAGGTCTTCAACTTATGACAGTTGTTTGGTATCTCAATATATGGAGTTCCTAGAACTCAATCAGTGGGTGCTCAGTCACTGTTAATTTCCTTTCCTTATGACAAAAATGAGTGTTTCTGTTGCATGAATGAATATATATGAACTTCCCAGACTTGATTGGATCATAGAAATCTGTTTAGATTTGGGCTGGACGAGCTCAATCACTTCCCTTGGGTGAAATCACTCGGAGTTGCTGATGGATGGGCTTCAGAGTGTCATCATTTGCACCATCAGCTCAGTTCACCTTCACTGATCCAAGGAGGAGAAGCAGCAAATAGCATATGATCAATCACTGTTGCTTTCAACCAACATTTCAAGCTAAAAAAAAAATCTATTTTAAAACTACATGTTTGCTCATCTCAAAGAGTGGGATTATAAACTGTTAGAAATCAGGGACCATTAAACAACTATTTACATTTGCAGTGGATTCAGAATGTAATTATCTTGAGTTTGGAGATGTGCTGCTGAATGCCAAGTAAACTGCCATGCAACTGGAAAACGTCAAGCCTTCCCTGCTCACCCAGCCAGACTTCAATGGCCCTTCTTCCAAACTTGTAGCACTTTGCCTCCATAGTTAGGGGTCCCAACTTGAGGCTAAGACATCCTGCCGCTGGTGTTTAGGTGTGTCTGGTCTATTAGAGGTCCGCTTTCGGGGGGCACAATGGAGCCTCCTGGGAGACTCTTCAGCCTAGGGAAGGGGGTACCAGGGCTAGTTTTCTCAACGATAAATTTGAAGGGAGGCGTGATTCCAAGTAATTTGTGGATTTGGTTTTCTTGGTGTTTCACACTCTAAAGATGGAGCAGGGAGCAGGGAACAGGCAGGAAGGATGTGTAGGATGGGCGTGGGTGAATAAGGTTGGTTGGTAAAATAGGGAATTTGGTTTCACTTTAAAATCACCTTAGGACTTGGGAGCAAAGGGAAGTGGCTTCGGTAACATCTGCAAAGCTGCACAGAGCACAGCTGAGCTTGAGCACCTCAGGCTGCCAGCCTTAAGACATGGTTCCTCAGCAGCAAGCGAGGAAACTGGGAGGCCCCTTCCCACAGTCTAGCAGGCAACAAAAACGTGAATCAGTACCACAGAGGGAGGCCAGAATACGAGAGAAAAGGGTTTGTGCCCTATGGTCAAGTACAGGTCTTATCTGTGGGCGCACCTGTATCTGTTCTAGGAATCCCAAAATACAGCAGAGAGAACCCAGTGAAGGCTTCGGGGCCAGCACCACAGATGGTGGTCAATAAAATGTAAGCTACTGCCAGCCACATAGCAGCACCGTGAGAATGAATGCTCACCCAGGAAGTGGGTGTGCATTAGGTCGCTTAGCGCCCAGTTTTGGAAAGACAGCTATGCTAGCAGCTGAGAATGGAGTGCTCTTCAAAAGAGCTGGGGGAAAAAGCTTGCTGAATTATATGATCTCTTTTTTCCCCTTTTTTCTCAGCTTTATTGAGGTATAATTGACAAAATTGTTAGGTATTTAAAGCATACATGATGATTTGATATACGCGTACATTGTGAAAGTAATCCTCATAGTAATTAATGCATCCATCACCTCACGTTTACCTTTTTTTGTTTTTAATTTTCTAGTGAGTGCATTTTAGTTCAACTCTCTTAGCAAATTTCAGTCATCCCATACAGCGTGACAGAGTAGCGTTACTATGTTGTACATTAGATCCTGCGACCTTATTTATCTTATGGCTAAAAGTTTGTATTCTTTTACTGGCCTCTCCCTATTTCTCCCAACCCCCAGCCCTGGGCAACTACTTTTCTACTCTTGAGTTCAACTTAAAAAAAAAAAAATTTTTTTTTTTTTTTAAGGTTCCATATATAAGTGATACCATATGGTGTTTTTCTTTCTCTATTTGGCTTATTTCACTTAGTGTAATGCCCTCCAGGTTCATCATCCATATTGTCACAGATGACAGGCTCTCTGCAAGAGGAATTTAAAATAATCATGCTATCAGTATTTCTCAGCCTTGAGTAACGTACAGAACCTTTTAAAGAACATGTTGCCTGAATATACAGAAACCAGGTCCAAATAACTGTGATTATACTTCTAGATAACAATGAACAAAAAAATGTACAAGGTACTAAAAAGACCTCCATATTATAGAATTTAAATTAATGATATTGATTAATGGGATGAATGATTTTGTTTTGCTGAAGTTTACCAGGACCACACAGTATTGGTTTTGTTGTTGTTGTTGTTGTTTTGGCTTTTTGGGGTTTTTTTGTTTTGTTTTGTTTTTTGAGTTCAGAAGGCTTCTGCCCCAAGTGCTGTGGGCTGCCCCAGTTCCGTCCCCACTCTTAGCCAGCTAGCTGCTGACAGCAGTGTCATCCTATGGCCAACCTGTCCCTGCTTGGCTTAACCCCCAGGAGAACTCGTGTCATTGGCGCTTGTCAGGGTGGAAGCTGTAAACTCTGGAAAGACTAGCTAGTCCTTCTAGTACTTGAAAGCTCTTCAGGAGGTAGATTGTGTCTAGAGGCAGGTTCTCTGGGAGAGCCCAGAATTCTGCAAATGAGTGATGTGCTGATGTTTCCCAATGAGCTTGTCTGGCTTTCTGATGTGACATCACAGCATGAATTTTTTGAAAATTTCTAAGACTCAAGAAAAAGCATCTGCTTATAAAATCGTTCCACTTTGCCATGTGCATGGGGCTTGGGGAAAGGAGTGAGACGAAGAGGAGCTTCAGCTCTAGGCTGCTCACACGGATTTATCCCAGAGGCTCTGATTCAGGAGGCTGTGTTGTAAGATCCTTTTCTGCGGCTTGCAGTGTTCAGAATTTGCAAAGAATGTCACCATCTGCTCTCTCTGTGACCTGATGTCACACAGACCAGAATATAGGATTCTCATCCCAAACCCTTCCCTTTTAAGGGTATGCACAGTTGTCCAATTTTAGGGAGAGAACAACTCTTTTTTGCTCCTGCTCCCTGCCTCTTCCTGGAGAAAGATCGGAGTCTGTAAGGGAGGATGGTTTCCGAGATCCCTGGCTCTGAGCATGCGTCCAGTTGAGCAGACTTCTTTGCTCTGTCATATTTTGGCTTCATTTCTGATTGTAGAGATGCCATGAGCCTACAAAGACCACGGGTATGAGGTGCCCCTGGCTGTTTGCCTCCCCTGCCATTCTTGTTCTTGCTCTCTTTCTCCTCAAGTTTGCCATCTGAGTGACTGTGGCTCACGGATACTTCCACCATGTCCAATGACGGCCACCACCTCTGGCCATTCCTTCAGTTCTCTGCTTTTCTTCTTTGTTACGTCTTCTTCAGCGTTTCCCTTCTCGTACATAGGTAAATGAGTTCTCCTGGTACCACCATCACCCACCCATCGAATTGTTCTTTTTGTTTTTTGTTTTGTTTTGTCTCAGTGGCTGACAGATAAGTCCCAGCATGTCAGGGATAATTTGGGGCATTCGCCTCTTACTCAGAACAGCACAAGAACTGGACAGGCTATTAAAGTGGGGGGGGGCTCATTCCAAACTCTGGGGAGCTCTGCATCACTGGTGCTCGAAGGCACTGGCGTCCGTATCTCCCTCCAAACAAGACTTTCCCTCGGCTCTGTGTGTTCAAATTCAGACACGAAGCTACAGCAGCTTCCCCGGGACACGGGGGCAGATGTCACCTGAAAGCACTCTCTTCTGATTCAGACTCTCCTCATGGCTTTTATTTGCTGTGTTTGCAGAACTCTCCTGCAGCAACTACAGAAGCTTCAGACTTTGGTGATGGGCAAGGTTTCGCGCACCTGCAAGTTGGCGGGCACGCAGACTGGCACGTGCCTCATGGTGAGTTTCCCAAAGGGACAGTGCCGCAAGTGCCCTGCCCTCCCCCTCCCAAGTCTCCAGGCTCTCCCCAATTTGCCATGTCCAAACGGGGTTGGAGGAGCGATGAAGCTCACTCTAAGGCAGTTCCTTTGCTCTGATGTTACAGGGGTTGACCTGTTGGTGCAGTCTGGCCTGATGAAGGGGAGTCTGGGTGTTGTAGGGCTAGAGGTTTGCTCTGTGGATCGTGGAACTGACAGCTCCCTCTGCTCTCTCCTCCCCCTGCAGGTGGTTGTGCTATGCTTTGCTGTTGCATTTGGCAGCTTCTTTCAGGGCTACGGGCCCTATCCTTCTGCCACCAAGATGGCTCTGCCCAGCCAGCATTCTGTGCAGGAGCCGTATACAGCCTCTGTCGGTAAGACAGCACTCGGCAATTTGTAAAGCATCTTGTTTCAGTTCTCTGGAGCTTTTTGAAAGCTCAACTTTCTGAAGGAAGCCTTCTGAGAAAGTCTTATCTTTAAAAAGTGGTAAAAGTGTAGCTTCTCTATTGAAGGGAGGGAAGAAGGACACGGGGGTGGGGTCTGGTTCCTAGGCGTCTGGGCCCCTTCTTGTACCCCTCACCCACTGGCCTGAGGCACCACTGGGAATTCTCTAGAGAAGAGTACAGTTTCCAAACTCTTGCTCTAGACTATGTTCCCTGGCAAATTCTGAGGTCTCCTTTTGAGCTCTGATAAGGGAGAGGGATGTGGATTTGGTCGGGGAGGGGAGTAGATGGAGGGGAGCATTAAGCTTTCCGTGACATTTTCTACTTGCACTCAGTGGAATTATATGTTACCGTAGTAAGAATTCGTGAAATGAATCTGTCTTACAAAACATTATGACCAAGATCTAGAGAATTTAGAGACTCAAGTGTTAGAGGTGTGATAACCTCACCTAGATCAATGGTCCCTATCTTAAGTATGTAGGAAATAATGAAGTGGCTTGTGGGGATCATAATATATACATGAATACACATATACACTAATAAGAACAAGTGTGAAGTTGGGGGTACCAGATTCGGGGTAGGCACAGTTTTGTAGTTCTGAAAGGTCTCTGGTCTTCACCAGGTGGTTATATCTCTGCCAGGTTTATGACAGAAATCCTAGCATTTCAACCACATAATTTCAGTGATCTCTTGGGAAATTCTTTTTTTTCCATAAGGGAATGGATCTGTAAATTTAAATGGAAGCCAATGAGAGTAGAGTTTCTATGTTGTAGAAAATTGCTGCAGAGCCATCTAGCTCTGCAACTATCCTATAAAACAAAGAAACTGTCTCTCTCATTTGATTTATGGCTTTGGCTTTGTGGCTTCTCTCCGGTTTCTAAATGAAAATGCCATTTTCTGCCCTTGTACCTTCTCTCCATGCAAGACCAACTCATTGGAAATGTTTCTTATTTTAGCTGGTCTGGACATCTCCAAGCATTTGACTTCCATTCTTCATGAATTGTTTCCCCCAGATGGTTTTGGGTGGGCAAGGAGGGGAGTTTTATTTTCAAAGCAGTGGGGGTGGCAGTTTGCTTCATGTTTATTTGCTTTTCTATTGTTCTTCCAGCACTGTATAATTGGTATAATTTTTCAATGCACACAACTCTGAAACCCTGAAGCCTTTATGGAAAGCCAACTCCAGCTGGCACCCTCAGTTCTGGGCAAAAGAACCCACACATTCTCATCTGCTCCCGGCCCTGGGCGTTGAGTGAGGGGATGGGATAAACCCTATGGTCTTTCCCTAACACCTGTTACTTTGCTCTGTCCTCAGTGAAATCCAGGAATCTGCTGATCTACGAGGAACATTCTCCCCTGGAGGAGCCGTCCAGCCCAGCCTCAGCTGGGGAGCTTGGGCATTGGGACAGAGGGTCCTCTCTGCTCAGAGCATCAGGGTTGGAGACCAGGCCTGATGTGGATCTCCCCCATTTCATTATCTCCAATGAGACCAGCCTGGAGAAATCAGTGCTGTTGGAGCTACAGCAGCACTTGTGAGTCAAGTACACACAGATGCAACTCCCCTAATGCGCTGATGATGGGTTGTGAGTCAGCAACCTGGAATGTGGGGTGTAGACTTTCCCATAGGCCCAGTCCAGCCCCTGGGCTCTTTCAGGACCTATTTCTGGGACCCCGGGACTCTGGAGAGTCTGCTACTTGCTAACAGCTGCCCTTAGCAGAGACGGGGGGTGGGGGAGACCTAGGATGAGCTGCCCCCATCCATGTCTGCTTTGTCACTGGAGAGGTGGCGGCTCCAGGAAGTGGGCAAAGGGCTTGACTCCCTCCTTCCTCCCCTCAAAGCCTCGTAGGTAAACATGCAGCACGGCCTTAGCAGTGCGCTTGCCATGCAGATGCAGCCTTAGGACACCTGCCCTACCTTCCTTCCAACTAGAGATACATATATGTTATGCTGTTTGCCAATATAGAGTTTTATGATTTTATGTAAATAAACATGTATTAATTATAATTACATATTTACATTGAGGGACATCATTCGAGAGGCACTGTGCATAGACATGTTTCTATATTGAAAGTAACACTGGGTTCCAATTCTCCGTGAGTTGTTTCTTTTAGATCGTTAGTGGGGAAAGTCTTTTGGGAAACATAAAGGCTTATAGGATGGCCAGATACTGTTATTGTGCTGGGGCGGGGGGGGTGGTTCCTGAAAATGCCAGACAGCACAGGAAGGAGGGTCTGCGTGCACACTCCTGGCAATGCATTGGCGTGGGTGGGGATCTCGCTGAACTCACCCCTGTGCTTCCCAGAAATGATGCTATTCCAATGCAGGTGCGCCCACTTGAAGATTCTACTTCAAATTCTGCAGCTTTTTTCCCCTAAAGCTGTGGGGAAGGTTCATAATTACATGTACTTTTATATGTTTACATAATACACGCATATTGGACTTTTACTGGCAGCTATGCAAATGTGATATATAAATCCTTTTAAGTACTTCAAGAGGCTAGGCATTATTATTTCCATTGTAGAGAAATTTGTAGAAGTACCACTGGGAGCTATGGAAGACTCAGCTGCTTGGTTACGTGGCTCATGCCACAAGTCCTCTCCCCTCTTGGCTCAACTGTTCAGGGACCCATTGAAACCCTCACTTGTTTTGGGATGTCTCCCTGACACCAAAGCCCTCAGCCCTCTGAGTGCCTAGAGACTTTCTAGGCTGTTACACAATTTAATAACATGTTTATTTTCTGTTATATGTTTAGTGTTATTTCAACTTAGCTTTTTTTTTTTTTTTTTTAATTTATCTGAATGATTAGTATTCTAGACCAGGGATCAGGCTTTATCCTTTTATTCTCTTCTTTCCAGAGTCTAGCATAAGGCTAACCATCCTCTGTAGATACATTCAGTTAAAGCAATTAGAACAAGAACCCGCTTGGGCCCACCCACAAAGTTGACAAGGTTGCAGTCATGGAATGATGGTATTGTACTCCCAGGCGTGAGAATCGTAGTTGTCAATTGGTGGCTAAGACTCTTTCCTTTTGGTATCTTTCCAGGGTCAGCGCCAAACTGGAGGGGAACGAGACACTAAAAGTTGTAGAACTCGACAGAAGAGTGAACGCCACCTTCTAAAGAGGCTGTCTCCACCTCCCTCTTTCTCTTCACTCTGCTTTCCCATCCCCAAACCACCTCTGTCATAAGCTTTTCCTTTTTGCCTTTGATCTGGATAAAGACATGGGCGAGCGGTCGTGGCTTTGGATGCGAGGACAGCCTGGGATTTCCACCTGCGGTGAGAGAGCACCTTCCCCTCCATTCCATGCCCCCCTGAAGAGGGGAGCCCGGCATCCCTCCCTCCCTCCTGTTTACCGCCATAGGAAATTATTTTAGGATCGTGGCTGGGACAAGCAGGCTCGTTTCTACCAATAGTGCCAAAGAGATACTGCCTGATTTTCATTGTGGGGTGCGACCACCTCTTTGAAGAAGAGATGACTCTTGTTCGTGTGAGACCCCAGACTCCAGCCACAAAAATACCAGAATGCCTGCTGGGATCTGGCAAAGCACTGACTGACGCCCTGCCTTCCTCAGCCTTGCGCTCCCGTGTGTCTGCCCCCGACAACCCGGAGGTGCCAGTGCCTTCAGTGAGCACCCCTGACACTCTGCCCCATCAGAGCCCTCGCAGATCGTCCTCCCCGCACTGGAGCGAGGGCTCCCCCTTCCCCATTCTCAGGCCGCAAGTGCAATGCCTGAAAGAATCAGGCTTTTCTACTCCAGGCGAACCTGCCCCATCTTGTTGCTTGTAGGGCATCCCCACAACCTGCGTCCCCACGTACCCATAGGTCTGCCTCCCTGGCTTCTCCTCCCCATTTGTAAATAGTATTTATTAGCTCGCTGAGGCTTCCCCACTAGCAATCACACTGAAAAGATCCGATGCCTCCCTCCAAAGTGGCCTTTGGAGCTAGAAGGGCACCCTAAGCTCTGGGATCCCCAATCCTCCAGATGGTGTTTTTTTTTTTTTTTTTTTTTTTTTACATTTTCTTCTTCTTTTTCTTCCTCTTCCTCTTCCTCCTCCTTCTTCACCTGGAGGCCTATCATTGTAATTGGGAAGTCCCCTTAAGAGCTTGTGTCCTCCTACAGAATGAAGTCAGAGGGAAATGCCTTAATCAGGTCTGCGGCTCTGTGGTCAGAGGCTTTTTCTGTCCTGTTCCCATAAGAGAAGGGAATCCTTGTCCCTGACAACAGGCATTTCGGACAGCCTTGCTGGCTTGCCTCTCCACACCTGCTCCTAGCCCCCTCCTCCCCACCCCCACACCCCACTTCTGCTTTACCCTCCTCTTCTGCCTCAACACAGGGGGCCTGAGGCCTGGGGTTGGAGTAGGTGACATTTGTGTATCCACAGTCTTACCTTTTATATTATAGTCAGGTTTGGCTACTTTGCAGCTTACCCAAAGAGATACAACCTAACCCCCCAACCTACATTTTTTTGTTTGTTTGTTTAATGATTAAAAGTAACTTTTGTAGTTTAAAAAATTCTTTCTTCTTTCATACAAATAAGAAATGGAAATTGCCTTTTCATTGTATAATGTAGAAGATTCACTTTAAGTGTTTTTCCCTAGCTTGTGAAAGATTTTGTGTAAGAAATTTGCTTACATTTTGTATTTTATATTTAGTAGTAGCTGAAGGACCTTTAGCTTTAACTCCTCTCTCTCTCTCTCTCTCTTTGGTCTACACTGTCATTGAAACCTGTACTTACAAGTGATTAAGCCCATACCTGGGCCTTCCATTCCATAGTAGATGCAGGATTTGGTGTCATTAGTATTTTTCCATCATACCTCATAAGCAGATCCCTGCTTTGTCGGCCTAGGTACATCTGGGGCTCGCCATGAGTGATTCCCCTCTCTCTCTCTCTGCTGTGATGGAGAGAGTTGCAGACTAGGAGATGCCAAGTGTGTCTTCTCATCCATGTGTAAAGCTGGATTGGGGCTGCCGCTGTCTGCAGTTTCAGGGCCCCTTACATTGGCCAGGGAGAGCAGAGGCCGTGTGAGCTGTGTAGGAAGAGGGCTTACTAATGTCCCCCTTGCCCCTGCTTCTCTCCTCTCCATTCCCTCCTTCTCTTCAGCTCTAGATTTTCCTGGGCCTGGCTGGTGTCAGGTAGCCACGGGCCACTGCTGACCCATCCTTCTCTTTAAAATGCCATGTAAGTATCAAGCACAGGTACCTGTGGGGGCCTACAGAGGTAAAAAAGAATGAGCTCAAGTAGTGTTTGGTCAATGAGAAAGGAAAGTTTTATATTTAAGGGCAGAAGTGTGAGCATGGGTCAGCCCACCCACCTGCTGCAGTGGAACCAGATCAGGTTTTGAAGGCTGCTGGATTAGCCAGGGGTGGGAAACCTGCTCTTCTGAATGAGGCGGGAGAAGGGACTGGCCAGCAAAAGTCCAGTACCTGTCCTTAGTACCTTGAGGATTTTATTTTCTCCCCTACCTGCCTTTGCTTGTCATCTCCATCTCTGGATCTCCAAACAGCAGGCTGTTTTCTCTGGGAAGCTCTTCTTCCAGAACTGAAGCTCTATCTGGAGACAGGAGACATCAGCCTGGGAGCTCAAATGGCCATGTTAAGGGGGTTCCAAGAACCAACCTTGCTGCTATTTTGCAAAAAAAACCTCTGCCCTCCACTCCCTGTTTGGGCAAGTCAAGGGAATAAACACATATCCCTTTAGGAGGATGCCATGGGGTCAAGAGGACACAGAAAAGTCGGATAATGCCAAGTAATTAAGGGATGTGTGCTCGTTTGCTGGATTTGCTTTCCCCCATAGAGCAGTCCCATAGACCAGTCAGTAATGCCTGGTTAACCCTGAAGATTTCAAATAGAGGCAGACATTGGCTTCTGAACTTCAGTTTTGAATACTATGAGACTATTAGCATCACCGTAAACCATAAATAATAAATAGGCTACTCATAAAGACATTAATTCTATTTTTCATCAGGTAAACAGTGTTTCATCTCCCCTGTCTTTGATTACTCTGGTGAAGGAGATGTCTTGCAAACATTCCGAGAACAAGCACTTTTTCACTGGCTGAGCCCCGAGTAACCCAGGCCCCCCCCCCCCCCCCCCACCAGCTTGGCCCTTTCCACAGCTCTTAACTCTGTGCTTAGAAATGGATGCTGGAGATGAAAGGCCTCGGTGCCAGTTTAAGAAAGAATTTCTGTGAAGTGTTAGGACTCTGGAGCCTCGGTCACATAAAGAGAGTGTTATGTAAATATCTGACAGCTGAACTAGGTTGCTCCTTTTGTGTGTGTGGGGGGGCTGAGGTTTGACACCAGCGTAGGCAAAATTAGATAACCTTTTTGCTAATTAAAATGATTTTGATTTGGAGAACTAATATGTAGGTTGTGAGAGCAGCTTTTAGCTCAACTTATTTACAAACCAACTATAATTACCATGTTTTTTTTTTCTTCCTAAATCTCTCGGTTTAGCCTGAATGCCAAAAGGGGGCGGTGAATCTCCTGTGCCCATAGAGCGGGAGTGTTGAAGTGATTCATCTTTATTCTAGCCTTGAGGCGGTGTCCAGAATTTTGGTCACATGTGTTTCATTAAAATTTTTCAACACTTATGGCTCCTTTCCTCCATGGCCTCAGACCAAGCAAAACCACAAAGAGAGCATCAGAGGCATCTTGGAGCCTGCTCTTGAGCACACATGTCCTATGGGGCGTGTACTTGAGCACGACGCATAAATGGAGACCTCCTGCTCTTTGTGGAGGAAATGGACCATCCGTGCTGGTCTTGCTCACGTCGGGGAGATTGGAGACCGAGGAGAAGGGCTTTTGGCCTCCCCCTTGTCTGCATGAGTCACTGCTTTGGTTCTATCGAATCCAGGCTGATGGGACCTGTGAAACCATTAGCAGGTAGTGCTCTAGTGAGAGCCATTTCATTTGAATGCTTTTCCGCTGAGACAATTAGGAGAAATGTGATAGCATGAGCCCCTCTGGGAGGCCAGTTACAGGAGCGAGTGGGAGGCTGTGAAGGAGCCAGAGACGGATTTCACATTTCCCATTCAGTCAGTCCGTCAGTCCATCAGTCAGTCCTAGGACTTTTCAGTTTTACTGAGGCAGAGTTCTGCATGGAGCCCTAGGGATTGTTGGGGAGTCAGGGGTCTGAGGAGATTTCGTCAATCAATAGCTATTCAAAAGACAAAAGAGCTAGGTCTCTCTCTCTGTCTCTCTCTCTCTCTCCCTCCCTCTTTCTGACACACACACAAATTTCCCCCTTGTTTCAAACACTCGTCTGCCTTAAATGTGCCTTTTATATATCCTCCAGGATAACTGAAGATTCTGTTGTCCCTGGGAGATGTTACAGATAGCCTTGTAGTATTAGACTGAAGTGGGTGTGGGGAAAGAACATTTTCCGGAGGCCCGAAAACGGTTTCCTAAATGTGAGCCACGATCAGATTTGCACATCGGGAGAAAAGAAATGAGGTTTTGTCCATTAGGAAAATCCCGTTTTGTAGAGCTGCAGTCAACATCTAAAACTGGCCAGCCTGGATTAAAGTTATTATAAATCCTCACAGCAGAACATGTTCTCAGGGCCAAGGAATCTGGCCCATTCGGGGATTGATGCTCCTTCTCTCTGTGGCCAAAGAGCCTGCACTTAGCACAGGACAAATCTAGGTGTTGTTTCATTTTGTTCTTTTGGGGCATCATAATTCAGGAACGCTTTAGTTTTGTCTTGGTTTTGAGAAGGAAGGGAGATAATATTTCTTGAGCCCTTATTAAGTGCTGCGTACTGTGCTTAATACATTTTGGCTTTTAATTTTATCGAGAAAACAGGGCAACTAGCTACTAGGAGATAGATAAACCACTAAGTGATATGGGAAGTGCAGTTTGTGGGTTTGGTTAGGCAGAACTTTCCGGGAACTTGTAAGGTTGTCCAGGCAGGAAACACAGTGTCCATTCCCTCTGCTGGGCCCACTGTGCAATGTTAGTTCTTTGCTTCCTGTTGGAGGTATCCACCCGACGCTCATGTCCTGTCTTGTTCATCTAGTCTTCTGTGAATTCCAGCTAGCAGGCTTTGCATCCTGGAAAAGAAAAAACAGGGATTTTAGCTCTGTTCCTCCTCTCCTGTCTTTGCTCACCAGCTAAGTGAGAACGTGAACTTTTTGCACCACGGACCCATGGCCTGCACTGCTTAGAGCCTCTCCCTTGCAGATAAAATGCTTTGTGAGTCTATGGAAAACACCTGCACACCTTGACGAATCGTGAGGGACCCTATTGAAACAATGCTGAGCAGACCCTAGACTATAATCAACCGTGAGCTTTAATGTCTGTGCTGACAGGCTGGACCTCTCCTCTCTTTTGTAATAGTTCTATAGACTAGCAGTGTTTAAGTCTAAATGGATTGTGAGTCTATTACCTGTCATATTGTGCTGGGTTTTTTTTTTTTATGGCTTTTTATTCTTTATCATAGCTAAGTAAATGCCTAAAATTAAAAAAAAAAAAAAAGCTTTGTAGGGTACTTGTACTTAGTTTGGAAAAAAAGATGAACTGAAATTGTTATGCTTTTGTATTTCCATTTCTTGCGAATAAAAATATTTTTTCTTAATTAGTAAAATGTTGTCCAGTCTTTAAAATTCTGGTAATCTGGTTTTAAAAGCATTTTGCTTTTCTGAGGAGCGTGGCTTTTGTATATGTGCGCCTAACCATTCTTTTCTGATTATCTAGTTGAACTGACAGAAGAGCCTCCGACCGGCAATTTGTCTGATAGCTAGGACTGAAATCCAAGCCTCCGTTGGAGGAATATTGAGAAACGTAATTTTTTCTCAGTCAGTCACAGGAAGAAAAACAGCGTTCTCTAGAGACTTTTGCCGCCTGACTGCTGTGTTCGTTGTCTACTACAACTATGCGCTAACTAGATTACAGAATTCTTCCGATTTGAGACTGCTTTCCCCATCTCAGGATGCTGGGGAATATGGTCTGGGCTGGAGCCAGGAGAGAAGGCTTTTTCTTCAGATGGACAGTTGCAGGGAAAGCCTAGCCCAGCATTGTGCTCCAGAAATCCTAATGAAATGGTTGATAAAGGTCAATGCACTCAAGCAGAATCATCATCATTCCATTGCAATTTCAGCGTTCAAATTTAATTTTCTCCACTCAGAGAGAGTGGGGCTTCATTTAGCCTCAAAAAGAGTACCCAGGATATTCAGAGATGAAGGCCATGGACTGCGCTTATCTGCAAAACTACCTTTTTTTTCTTTTTTTTTTAAAGCAGCATGACTATCCCTGCTTTGGGTTCAAGGGTGCATTAATCTCCTGCTGCCTTTCCCCTCTGAGCACCTTGACCTTCTCTTCTATTCAAACACAAGGGGGCCTCTCCCTGTAAAAACTTTTAGTAACACATTTTCCCTCTTTTTTCCTTATATCGGGAGCCTATTATGGAAGCCCTCTTTTCGACATGCTGGTATCTGTCCAGCGATGAGTGGAGGACGCAAATACTCACTGATTTGAGAACGTTCTGTATTAATCGTGCCTTTATATTTTCTGTATTCCTAATGCTTTGGCATCTGGGGCTTTGCAGACCCAGGAGGGACTGCCCCTCCCAGGGCTAGCCAATTCCTAGACAGTAAAGGACTTGCCTACAAGCCCAACTTTCATATGCAAAGCAACCAATCCAGAGCCCATAGCCCAACCAGCCTGAGGGGCCAATTGCCCCTCGCCATCAGTCACCCCAGGGCCCAGTACCAGACAGCCAGAGACCGTCTCTATACATATATGTATGTGTATATATATATACACACACATATATATCTTATGTATCTATCTATCTGAGTTAAAACTCAATCCTGAGAATTCCAGGGAAAAGAATATGGCAGTAACACCTTGAAAAGCAATCCCATTGGAGGGGTCATGGACCACTTAGACAGCTAGCATGTCACCTGCTCAGATGAGGGATAGCCCAGCTGCCTCCCTACTCAGGCCTTTCAATTCCTGTCCCTTGGGGTGAAACTGACTGCCCTCCCTCCTCCTAGTCCCGTCATCAATACAGCATCTTATTCTTGATTCCCTTTCCTGTCAATTCAGATGACAGAAGGACCGGGGAAGCGACATAAATGAGTGAACCAGCCTAGGCGTAGAGACATGTGGCCACCCACAGACAACCCATTCTATTGAATGCTCGCATTACTCAACATCCAAAGTTAGTGGGTCCTCTGGTCTTTTTTTTTTTTTTTTAAAGATTTTATTTATTTATTTATTTATTTATTTGACAGAGAGAGACACAGCGAGAGAGGGAATACAAGCAGGGGGAGGGGGAGAGGGAGAAGCAGGATTCCCGCTGAGCAGGGAGCCCAACGGGGGGCTCGATCCCAGAACCCCGGGATCATGACCTGAGCCGCGAAGGCAGACGCGTAACGACTGAGCCACCCAGGCGCCCCGGGGTCCTCCAGTCTTTTAAGAGAAAATGGAAATCTGGTGTTATAAGAAATCTTTGAATGTTGAAAGGTTAACCGATAATTTTTAAATGTTTGAAACATCATGGGACCAAACCAGAAATATTAATGCACAAGCTGAAGGTCTGCAATCTCTGATGTAGGCTAACTCCTGTGTTTTGTCAAGTAAAAATCCCCAAGCCCTAAAAACAGCACAGTGTAGTTTGAAGACTCTGTACTCCGAGTCAGAGAAGATCAGGGCTCACATCTCTCATCTGCAGAGAGTTTACTGTATGATTTTGCGTAAGTTTCTTAGCCTTTTTACATCCCAGCTTTCTCAGCTATGAAAGGGGGAAATTATATATCCTTCATAAAGTTTTAAAGGAAATAAATAAGATCATAGATAATACATAGAAATCACCTGGTGCATAATAAGTGCTCAGTAGCAGCTAGCAAGTTGATAAAACTATGCAAGAATCCATAAACGTTTATCTCCTGAATCCAGCCGGGTTCTTTCCCCCACTGTATTCCCCACTGTTTCCTTACCTCTATGGCTCCCATTTTCAGTTTGTTACTCAAAGGTCCCAAGAGGGAGCATACCATGCCATAGCGGCCACATAGGGAAATGCCATGGTCAGTCAAGAGGCAGAGGGAGTGAGGAAACATCAGCAAGAACCTTCATCGTAGTTTCCACAGGAAGGAACAAGCAAGACAAGGTAAGCAGGTTTAGGATTGGCTAGTTTGAATAATCTCAGTGGGCTATCTGGGTATAGGGACTGTTCCTGGCTGTCTGGTACTGGGCCCTGGGGTGACTGATGGCGAGGGGCAAGTGGCCCCTCAGGGTGGTTGGGCTATGGGCTCTGGATTGGTTGGTTTGCATTGAAAGCTGGGCAAGTCCTTTACTGTCTCTAGGAATTGGCTAGCCCTGGGAGGGGCAGTCCCTTTACTGTCTGGGTTTTAACTCAGATAGATAGATATATCTATCTCCCCCTAAAGACCTCTGTCTCTATAGAGAAGGGAAGAAAGGGAAGATGGCTCATCTCAGTCATTTGCTAAAAAATAATCCAAGTCACCGTTTGAGAGGCTGGTTACATTTGACCCCTTGTTATTTGGGGGGGCTGGGCAGGTGACACAAGTTGATGTTGTCTTCCAGTGGGCACAGCTGCTGCTAGATCTTTTGGCAACTTGAAAGAAGTGTTCTGGCTCCATGAGGAGCCCATGTGTTCTCCTCCTCCCTCTGTGCTGTTGTTTTTAGACGGAGGAACAAAAATAACCATTGAGGAATACCATGAAAGCTGCCAGAGAGGCTGTTGTGCTCTTCTCCAAGAGTCTGTTTCAAAATGTTTAATGTTTCTTAAGTGAAAAGTATTTGGGAATTGGGGCTGCCAGGGTGTTCATCAGTAATGTCCTCCCCAGTATTACTGCAAAACAGATGGCAAGTTGAGTTTCCTGATGGGTGCATGAGACGTTCCAGGTGCTTGGGCTAGTTCGAAGAAAAACCCTCCCTGAGACAAAAATGTGAAAATACAACCACCTACATATTTAGAGACCACCAGGACAGAAAAGGTGTCCTCAATCCCCAAAATGTTTCCTTTCTCAACTTAGTTATTTAAATACTTTCAATTGTTGATACAGCTTTTTATCCTGGCTTGAGATAGTGTAAATGGTAAGTGAATGCAGAAAAGAAAATATAGTTGACATGGTATGTACAGTATTGCACACATAATTCCATGCAATCCCACCCCAGGGGCAGAACTTGACAGGGGATATAAGTGGAACTAGGAGGGGTGCTATAGGAAAGTCAGAGTTAGGGACTACATGTACGACATAACAGGGGTAAGAAAGAGGTAGAGAGAATGCTATTGGAACCAATGGCAAAATTTTCCTACAATACAATTAAATTTAAAAATATTGCAGCCATATTGTACATAGCTAAAAAGTTAGGATACTAAAAAGCTTTTATTGAAAAGTAGTCCATTTTTCTATCTTTTCTATCCACCAGTCTTACTTCTTAGAAGTAACCAATTTCAATTTTTTCTCACATTTATCTCTATATTTCTTCTTCTAAAAAATACTTTATTTGTTTATTTTAGAGAGAGCATGCATAAGTGAGGGGAAGGGCAGAAGGAGAGGGAAAGAGAGAATCCCAACCAGACTCTGCACTAAGTGAGGAGCCCCACGTGGGGCCCAATCTCAGGACCCTGAGATCATGACCTAAGCTGAAATCAAGAGTTGGATGCTTGACTGACTGAGCCACTCAGGTGCCCCTCTCTGTATTTCCAAATAATGGGTTTATGCTGTTAATACTTGATATATCAATTTTAGACATTCACTATTAGTTATTCTTATGGTTATAAGAATTTTACCACCTCCAGAACACACACACACACACACACACACATGCACACACACTTCTTTCCCCATTTTCTTCCCATTTGGTCTCTTTCTTCCATACTATCAGCCTTCCTCAAAGATCTGAATGGCTATTGTCCGTTCACATGCATTATGATGTACAATGATTAGTTGTTCTAAATTTGGGAGTCAGGGTAAGGGGAGAGTCATTTTCCTTTAGCCTAGTGTTCTTCAGACTGAGTGGGGAGGGGTTGGGAAATCGATTTAGTGTGTTCTGACCAACAATTTAAGAAAGAGAAACAGAATGGAATGGAATAGAATGGGATGGGATGGAATGGAATTGCAGAGTAAAATAGAAAATAGAATGTATCTAGTAGAGGTTAACACTGTTCCATGTAACTTTAATTTCAGGTGTGTGTGTGTGTGTGTGTGTGTATTGTGTTGGGTTATAACTTAACAGATATCTTTCTGAGGGTCACAATAAAGTTTTAAATTCTCAAAAAAAAGCATTAATATCCTCATTGAATTCTCTCTCTGTAAGGAGATAAATGACAAGGTAGCTTTTTTTTGGTTACAATTCCCAAAGAGTAGCATATGAATATCTGGGACCATTCAAGCCTCCCAAGAGCAGGAAGTTTCAGTCCTGCCTGGGAGATGTGACTGTATGCAGGTGTTTGCGGATCAGCATGGAGACAGTACCAGGGAGAGTCTGAGTTTACTTAATCCTCCTGTTTGGGCCCCCTGCCTCACTTCTGCTTTCTTCTGTCTTTGGTGGCTTGAGCTGTATTTTATTTGGATCATCTCAAAGAACCTCCAAGAATTTTCTAGATGACTTAGC